GGAAGGAGCCACAGTCTGCTTAATTAGCACTTTGATTTATAGTAACACACTCTGGCAAAACTCAGGCATTGCTAATTTTTATAACTCCTACAATTCCACTGGTAGGTGAGCCTAAACAAGGCAACAGCCTCACGTTTAATTGATTCTCTCCCAAGCCAGAAAGAAAGGCTGGGGGCTGGGAATCCCCGCCTGTAGCTTAGTTTCCCAGTACTGCCTCTTTGCTCATGACCATGGCTGGAAAGAGAGTGGTCTCCCACATGGTTGAGATGTCCAGTCTCTGAGTGTTATCATATGGCTTCCTCAAGATGTCCAGGACTGTGCTGAGAAATCACAGCCTGTTGAGCTCCAGAGACTGGGACCTGGAGTAAGAGGCCAGTGGGGACATCATCTCTCAGGTACCTGAAGACATGAGAGATGGACCTGGTCACAAGGTGATTTGTTTAGTACCAAGAATCTGGCCTGTATATAACCTCAGCTCTGCATGCAAGGCCTTGTCTGAGCAAGGGTCTGGGGGCAGATTGTCACTTCGAAGGCTGCTGACTGTTGTCCCAAATGAGTATCCTGTGTGCTGAATGTGAGCGGGACATGGGGCCACCTACTGAGCAGATGTCCCACAGCCATCAGCATCTAACAGATGATGGAGAAACCAGAGAGGAAGCCTAGGCCCAAATGCTTAAGCAGTTTGCCCGAGGCCACCCAGATACTGCACAGCAGAGCTGGGTTTAAACCCAGGGGTCTGGCTCCTGAGTCGGTTCTTTCCCATTGAGCCAGAACTCGGAGAATCGGGGACACAGAGAAGGGCGGTCATGGCCAGCAGAGGAGGCAGGGAAGGAGGCTACCTATGAAGTCCTCTCTCAGACCAAAGCTCAGGCCTTCTGTGAGGGGCAGAGCAAGGCTCAGTGTGGAAGCCAGGGGTTAGGGTCCAGCGAGCTGCACAGAGTGCACCATTAGGAGTCAGTGGGCAGAGTCGTGTCCCCCAAAAGATTTCCTAACCCTCCACTACCTTAGAATGTGTCCTTATTCAAAAGTAAATTAAGATGCAATCAGACTGGAGTAGGCCTCATAATCTCACATGATTTTGTCCACATAAGGAGACACAGAGTCATAGAAGACAGACAACAGGGAAAGCACCATGCGAAGGCAGAGGCAGAGGTTAGAGCACTGGCATCTACAAACCAGGGACAAGCAGGGCCCACCAGAAACTCTGAGCAAGGAAGGTCTCTACCCAGAGCCAGAGTTTCTATTTCAAGATTCTGTTTCAGAAGGAGCGCGCCCTGCTCATACCTGGATTTCAGGTTTTCCGCCCAGGGACTGAGAGACCATGCATTGCTGTCATTGCCTAGTTTGTGGTCATTTGTCACAGCAGCCCCAGGAGACTAATAGTCACTTCATATTCTCCACCAGCCTTCAGTGCTCTGATTGATAAGCATGATTTACTAGGGCCATGGGTTGGGCTGAGTTGGTATTCAGGAGTTATTCTGAGGCTTGGACTCACCAGGAAATGTGTGTCAGGGATAGGGGGCAAGACCCCTAGTGGTCTCCAGTGACCTGACCACATTTAGACCTCCAGGGGATCAGACACTCTTATCCTGTTGTCCTCAGTGGTAGTTGTGAAGACCATCAATGGAAGTATAGAGTGTGTTGTTTACAGTTTAGTTGCAGAACTCCGTATCCACTCTTGCTAGTTTAAGAAAGGGGTGTGTTACAGCTGGGTAGATACCGAAGAGTTCAGAGAATCATTAAGAAGGCTGACAGAACAGCCCAAGTCAAAATTCAGAAATGATCCCCAAGCCACCCTGCAGAAACTCGCATTCTCTGGGATCAGGACTCTGACTCCTGGCTTGGAGGGTGGCACCGACCACCAGCCCCAGACCCACGGTGCCCCTGTTGTGGTCTGTACCCGCAAAATGGACACCAGGCTACAAACTGGACTCCAGGACTTCTCCCTCAGTGCATCTTGGCAACAGAAATGACAGGTGTGTGACTTCTCCAGTCCTGCCTTCTCATATCAGAGCATTCTAAAGGGAAAACTGGAATCATTTTGGGGGCTCCTAACTACAAAGTCATAGGGAAATAGAACTATTGGCTGTCTTGCCCTTCACTATGGACGTCCAGAGCTTACTGTTTCATAAAGGCGAGTCACAGGAAGAGCAATGTGCGCAGGGCGGTGGCTTAGCAGGATGAGCCTGCAGAAGTAGCATCACAAGCTGAACCTGGAACAGGTGCTAGTCAGGCGGGGAGAGTCGGATGTGCAGCTCCCTGGACCTCAGCACGTAGAAATCACCTAGGAAATGTGTCTTGGTGCAGATAGGGACCACATGTTAAGTGACCTTCTCTGTGTTGCCTGACGCTGGAGTGGAAGCTACCTGGCTACTACTTCAGCCCTCTCTATGGTCAGCCGACTTCTCGAGACCTCCCAAGAGCCCCTTAAGGTGGGAGCTCCTCTCACTGCCCATTCAGTCTGGTCAAGGAAAGAAAAGCCAGGAGGGCTGTTGGTGGGGGGAGTGGGTTGTGGGAGGATGAGTTGGAAGCAACCAGTCTGGAAGACCAAGTTCCCAGCTCTGGCCCTGTCTGCAGCTGGCTGAGGTCGGGGTGAGCCTCTTCACTCTGAACCTCAGTTTCCTTGTCTATCAGGTGGGGTGGGTGGGATGCATTCACAGACTTCTCTTTTGGTAGTGGGGCCTTCTTTCAAGAGAAGTGTTGCAAGGATCTTCAGAGAAGCACCGTCCAGGTAGCTGCTGTAGTTGCTGCAGGGTGGGATCCAGGCCTCCCATTGCCTCAGACATTTCCATGGAAACCAGTTTTAAAACTCAAATGATCATTACAGAATGGGGTATTCTTGCTCAGGACTCGTAGGGCTTCTGGCCCCCGACAAAGGCAAGTGACACTTTGCTTAAACCTGCTCACATCATTCCAGCCTCATGGTTTTTGTCCATAACGGAAGAGAAGAAGGGGCCTGTCTGGTGTGTCAGGGTACCTAGATGGGGGCATTGTGCTGGGTATTCAGGATACAAGGACTGGCTGGTGGGCCCACCTGGAGGCAAGCATGGTAGATGATAATCCTCCATCCTGCTTCCAGGAATGGAAAAAAAATTATCTATCTATCTATCTTACATCCTATTCAATCCAGAGATGTTTTTTGAGATGAAATTAAGTGGTTCTTGAAGCAGGAAGGGAGGCAAATCCATCTTGGAGAGCTGCCCCAGGGCGGTGCCCACTCTGCCTGACCTTGGCAGCCAGAGAGGCCTCCATAAAAATTCCAAGTGCACCTCCCCTCCCTGCCACACAGTGCAAGCACACATGCACGTGTCCAAATACTTTGGTCAGAGTTGGATTGCCACTTCTCAAAAAGCACATCACTGGCGCGTAAGAGAATGGGCATGTCACGGACCAGCCCCAGGGAGACCCTTCCTGATCAAGAAGATGCACCAAGTCTTTGTCCACCCATGTGTTACAAAACCCTAAGCCAGGTTGGGAGTTCATATTGGGACCATTTGCTTTAATTCTCCAGAGAAGCAAAGAAGGTACCATTAAGATCCGTTTGAATTGGGATCTGTTAGCTGTTTGCCTGCTCTTGGCTGTAAACTACCACCAGAGACATTCCATGAGCTTGTTCTAAAAATCAAACCAAGTATCTCATACATGGAAATGATCGGAGAAAGCCACCAACTTTTGTTAGAGCCATTAAGGAAACCTTGGATGTGCTTTGCTGGCGGTGGGCCATCCTTGGGAATGGGCCTTCACATCCGAATTTGCAGCTGCTGCTTCCTCTGGCTTTGCTTGGTGAAGATTCTTGCCATACAGTCAGCCAGAAGAGAGCCAGCCCTTGGCAGGCGTACAGTGAAGGAAGGATGAGACTAACCAGGAAACCCAGCAAAAGACTGTTTAATTGACAGTTAACTGTGCAGGGCACGGAGGAACAAGGAAGACTAGAATATTCAGAAAGCGCTCAAAGGAGCCAGTCTTCAGGGATGAATAGAATTTAGAGAGCAGGGAGGAACTCAAGTTTCAAGGGACTGTTAATAATAGCTACCATTATATACATACAATGGAATGTCATTCAGCCTCTTTAAAAGAAAGGAAATTCGGACACATGCTGCAGTGCAGATGAACCTTGAAGACGTGAAGGGAAATACATAATTCCACTTACGTGAGGCAGATGCACAGAGAAAAATGGTGGGGTGATGGTTGCCAGGGCTGGAGGGAGTAGATGGGGAATTAGAGTTTGATGGGTACAGAGCTGCCCTTTAGATGAAAAGGTTCTGGAGGTGGAGGGTGTCGATGGGGGCTTAACAATGTGAAATGTACTTAAAGCCACTAGACTTTACACCTAAAAATGGTTAAAATGGTAAGTTTTGTACATTTTCTAATTTTTAAAATACAGTTTATGCATTTATGAATGTCAAAAATGAACCCCACTATTTTTATAACTGTAATGCCCTAGTCAATTTAATACATTTAAAAAACAGTAACTAGCATTTATTGTGCTTGCTGTATGCCAAGAGCTCTTGACTTCTCACACAGTTCTCCAATGGCCATATAAAGTAGGTACAGTTATTGTTTTCATTTTACAGACGTGCCACTTGAGATAGGATGATTAAATACATCTTCCAAAACCTGCAACTGATGAATGGTCTGCTGTGGATTGAACCCAGATCTGTGCAAGTTCAAACCTGGTGCCTTTAAGCACCGCACTGTGTGAACCATAGGTTGAAATGCAGTAAAGAAAGACTCCCCTTCCTCTCTCCTGATGGTCTACAGGCTAGCTTTTTTTTTTTTTAAAGATCACTATAAGTAGGATGAGGTGCTTGATTTCCTTTCCATATGCTTCCAGAAAGCCACTGTCCCTCCTGGATTCAGCAGAGACCCTAATTGTGGCTCTAATCTGAGTTTCCTCATTGCATCACATTTTTGGAGTTGTAAGTTGGCTGTGACTTGCACGTCATTAGTTCATAGGACCCTTACTTAATGAGTGACCTGTGTTTCTTTATCTGTTACAGACCACAGTAATTGACTATGTGAAGCCCTCAGATCTCAAGAAGGACATGAACGAGACCTTCAAGGAGAAGTTTCCTCATATTAAGCTGACACTCAGCAAAATAAGGAGGTACGGGAAACTTATGTCACCTTAACTCACCTTGAACTTGCCCTTCTAGCCTCTCTTCCAGCCCGCATTAAGCTCATGCTTTGTATGATGTTTTTTCTGTTCTTTGAGGAATGAAGCATGGTCACATTCAGTTAAGGGGAAAAACAAAACAAAACCAAAAAAACGGTCTTACAGCTGGCTGACTCGTGCCTGGATGTGGTAGGAGAGCCCAGAGAGCCAGGACAGAAGGCCAAACTCCAGACCTATGATTGACACAGATCTGGAAGGGCATTCATTCAGTGAAAGAAACATTTTAGGCTATGTGCATGCAGTGTGCCAGCTCAGTAAGATGTATATTTTGAAAAACAGAATGGGTGACATTCAGTTCTGTGGTTTCTCAAGTATAGCCAAAGCCAAAGAGAAAAGGGTTAGTATCTTAGGGAATGGGATAACATTACCTAAAATCACTTTCCCAGAGATGATAACTGGGACCTGTATTTTAGTAGTCACCAAAGCAGAAAAAAAAAAAAAAAAAAAGACAAGCTGTACTTCCCATGTAGTTGATTAGATCAACCCTGCGGTGACCCTGGCTGTCAGCCAAATAGTTAAGGTGACTGACCCTGCTGGGCCAGAGAGGAGCTAACTAGTGTCTGTGTGCCCCATGACATCATGATTGCAGGTGTTTGGGCATACATGTGTATGGTAACAGAAGCTAGGCTACACAGCCATGTCATGTTGGAATATGTGCCGGTAAGTATTTATGCTAGTGTACATCCTGATAAGATTTGATTCTGGCATGTTCCAAGCCAAAGAACCCCCCCAAAAAAAACTTTGAGAAAAATCAAGTATTCACACTTTGTCCATTTGCTGGGCGGCTTTCCCAAGGACACTGGTTGATGTGCTCTTAGGCTGACTCCTTTTCTGTCCTAGTTAATGAACATAACTGATATTTGGCAGAGTTTAGACCAAGCGCCTGATTTATTTCTATTATCATCTCTGGAATGAGCACAGTTTCCCAGATGGTGACCCTCTTTGACTCTGGATAGCTCCGCCCTTAGTTTCCAAGGGGGCCCTCAGATATCCACATGTGTTCAGTGGGGTCCTTCTGTGTTCGTCATGTTCGTTGGCGCCCTTGCTGGCCCCTCTGTCTGCCTGGCCTGCGGCCTGTCTGTCATCCTCCTGGAAGTGGCGATTTTTGGCACTGAATCTGGGGCAAAAGTGAACATGGTCTGGGCAGCCAGACCAACCAGGGAGGGTCTAGACCCCCAACTGTGTGGCCTTCTTCCACACATAATGTAACCTTCACACTTCTGGGGATTTAATCCCATCCCATATCACCCTCTGGGGATGAAAAAGATGCTTTCCCGATGGAGTCATCCTCCTCTTTGGGGGTCCCCTGAAACTCTTAGGTTCTAGTGAGATTCTTCCCTGCTTTCTTTGTCTAGTCTGAAACGAGAGATGCGGAAACTTGCCCAGGAGGACTGTGGCTTTGAGGAGCCTACGGTGGCCATGGCCTTCGTCTACTTTGAGAAGCTCGCCCTCAAGGGAAAGCTCAACAAGCAGAACCGGAAGCTTTGTGCTGGAGCATGTGTGCTGTTAGCAGCCAAGATCGGAAGTGACCTCAAAAAGCATGAAGTCAAGCATTTAATTGATGTAAGTAGCCTACATCCTGGTGTCTGGGGGGGACACTCTCAGTCCAGGGGTCTTCTCAAAAGGACCCTGGCTGGTGACAAAGCTAAGGGCGGGCGGGGGGCAGGCGGGGGTGGGAAGGTTATCTACTTGGACAAGACCAAAGAGCTCCAACATTGGATCTGGCCATAAAAATCTATTCTCAGACACCATGAGGAGTGGAAACTACTGTAATCACAAGGGGTCTGTTCACAAGAGGTCTTGTGAACAATGAGACCTCAAAACATCCGTGGTCTAGCAGGCCCTGTCCCCCTGCTGCCTTGGTTACTTCCTGGGGTACTATCGTCTTTCTTTTAAAGGAGAGTCTCATCAAAGCAAGAAAACACTGATCTCATCGGGTGAATGCATGAATACCTGTTTTAAAATTCAGTATATTAATAGGAAATTTGGGGAACGGTAAAGCCAACAGATCAGGAGACAAATGCCATTGAAACCATAGGTTTATTACTCACAGTTCCCAAGAGGAGGGATGTCTTAGGTTGGGCTACCATAGAAAAATACTGTAGGTTAGGTCTCCTAAACCACAGAAACTTATGTCTTGTAGTTCTGGAGACTGGCAAGCCCAAGATCAAAGTACCAGCTGCTTTGATTCCTGATGAGGGCCCTCTTCCTTACTTGCAGATGCCTTCTTACTGTATCCTTAATTGCATAGGGAGAGACAGAGCAAGCTTTCTGGTCTCTCTCGTAAGGATACTGATCTCATCATGAGGACTGTACCCTGAAGATATCCTCTGAGCCCAATTACTCCTAGAGGCTTTACCTCCTAGTACCCCACATTAGGGTATGGGGCACCCATGGATTTGTGAGAAACACAAACATACAGTCCAGACAGTAGGCAACTGCCACAGCCATGGGAGGCCATGCTAGGGAGCACCATTTTTAGCTGAGAAGCAAAGGGAAAGGAAAAGAGCTGATGTAGGTGCTTGCCATATTTTTTTTTTTAAAGTATTCTTTAGGTCAGTACTTTAAGAAGTGGCACACGATCATCTAGCTTGTTCTGTAAATACATGAACATGGAAGTGATCCTTGGATGCCAAATATGAGCTGAGAATCAATAGCCCTATACGGTTGTCCCCATCTATCATGGCTTTGCATTGCCCGATTTCAGCTATCTACAGTCAACCAGTCCAGAAATACTACATGGAAAATTTCAGAAATGTGCAATCTGTTTTAAATTCTGCACCTTTCTGAGTGGCGTGATGAAATCTCACTCTGTACCACCTGGGACATGGGTCATCTCTTTGTCCAGGATACCCACGTAGCATATGCTACTGCCCATCAGTCACTTTGCCATCTGGTTTGTCAGGTTGACTATCCCAGTATCACAGTACTTGTGTTCACGTAACCCCTAGTAGCCTAACGCGTCCCAATTCCTTCGTCACTGGTCTTCATCTCATCAGAGGCATTATATCAGTTCACATCACAAGAAGGGTGAGTAAAGGACCCTAAATTATTGAGATCACATTCACATAACTTTCACTATAGTGTGATTATTTTATTTTACCACTAGTTATTATTGTTAATCTCTTAATACACCTAATTTATAAATTAAACTTTTCCATAGGTATGTATATATAGTAAATAATCTATAGGGTTAGGTAATATGTGTGGTTTCAGACATCTTTAGGGACGCTTAGAACATATCCCCCATGGATAAAGTGGAACTACTCTATACCTGTGTATATATTTTTGTTGAACTAATGAATCTTGAGAAATAATAAAAATTATGATATTGTTCACATCATAGTTAAATAATATGCCACACAACAAATGCTGATAGTATTAGTGCAGAATATATCAGTAATGGTTTAAAAAGCTATTTGCATTAGCAATAAACCTTAAGAGCAGAGAGATCAATAAAGAGGAGGAAAAAGTAAGGTACGGGGGACTGAATTAGAGCAAAGTATATTCCATGCTTTTATAATTATGTCAAAATGGATTCTACTGCCATGTATAACTAAATTTAAAAAAAGAAAAAAAGCCCATCTCAGTTATAATCTGAGTGCAGGCAACAACAGCTCTACTGGTGAGATTTCTTCTCCATTTCTAATGCCATCCCGCTGCAGTCGGATGGACAGGCAGGGAGCCACAGCTCACATACGTGACATTGAAAGTAGGGCAACCTCACCAGGACTTGAGGCCCTGTGGGTAAGATGAAAAGAATGAATTGCAAATAATCATCTCCCCGCATTCAGAACTTAGGTGTGGTTATTATTGTTGTAGGTGATGGGCTCCGTTTTAGTTTTACTTCTAGACCTGAATAACTTAGATGTAACAGGGTGGTGCTGGAGTCTCGTGTAGATTTGCTTCTCAGCACTGCAGTCTGCCACCCTTGGACAAGTGATTGACCTCTTGGAGCCCATAAAATGGAGATCAGTGCAATACCAACCTTGTGAGAGTCTTAAGATTAAATGAAGTGATGGGACCTATGTGAGCCTCCTGGCAGACCATAGGCCACCAGAACTACAGCAGGAAGTGCCGTCCATACCTCCCCTTCTTCCTCCAGAGCCTTGCTTGTAATGGGTGTGTGGTTTGAATATGGTTTGCCGCGTCTGAACCTCATGTTGAAAATTTTTTCCCATTGCAACAGTGTTGAGAGGTGGGGCCTTGGAGAGGCGACAGTGTTAAGAATTCATGCCTGGGCTGGGGCTGGGGCTCAGCAGTAGCGCACTTGCCTGGCATTTGTGAGGCAGTGGGTTTGATTCGCAGCACCACATATAAATAAAATAAAGGTCTATTAACAACTTAATAATAATAAAAATAATTCATGCCTTTCTCTTTGGAATTGTTCTTCTCAGAACTAGATTACTTACCCCAAGAGTAGCTCATGCTAAAGCAAGGCTGTCCCTCATTTTCATGGACCTGCTTACCCTTCCACTTTCCATCAGGAATTGAGGCAGTACAAGGCCCTCAACAGGTGTGACGACTTGACTTTGCACTTCCCAGCCTCCAGAACTGGTATTTATAGTGACCCAGTCTCAGGTATTCTGAAAGCAACAAAAAACAGACTCGTAAGTTTCTCTGTGAGCACTTACTGGCTGATGGATAGGGAAATTGCACTTGGAAGAAAACCCCTTAGATTTTAATTTTAAAACTAAAATGTCTTAATTTTATTGCAGAAACTGGAAGAGAAGTTCCGGCTGAATAGGCGAGAACTGATTGCCTTTGAATTCCCAGTGTTAGTGGCCTTAGAATTTGCACTCCATTTACCAGAGCACGAAGTCATGCCACACTACAGACGCCTGATCCAGAACTCCTAGCACAGGGCCCAGCAGGGTGAAGGACCATTCCTCTGAGTGCTGTGGAGCGGAGTTCACTACTGGAAATGCAAAAAATAAAACTCAAAAGTACCAAGCTTCTTATCCTCATCATAGTTTTCGCAGAGAAGCAGTACTGGAAACTTCACGGAGTCTTCAGTCTGGCTGGCCGAGAAGAGTGTGAGCCATTCATTACACAAGCAAGTGAAAAGAAGATTCATGCTGAGGACAGCAAAGTCCCCTACCTAGCAAGAACTCAGCTGCCTCCAAGGGGCTTCCTGCCAGGCATGCACACCTTGCCAGTGTGACCCTGGGCCTTCTTTCCAGACCCATTCCAACTCTGAGCACAGAGTGCCAGAGCAGACGAGGGAAGCAGATTTGCAGAACTGAAGGAAAACTTTTCTACCATCCCTGTGTCAAAAGAGCGTGCCAATCTATTTTTGTATCAGCCATTGGAAGTGCACTTTTCCCCGGGGGCATGTGGATGTGAGTGTGCAAGTGTCAGAGATCCTGCATCAGCCCTCAGCCCCCAAAGTCAGTGCCACCCTCTGCAGAGCTGACTTGGGGCAACGATTTCTGAGTGATTTCTGGTTAAGAATCCCTCGGTTCCAGGTTGGCATCTTCTGCCCTTAGGAAATGACATTGTTTTTGTGACTGCTCCTGCCACAATCGGACAAAGACTAAGTTCTCAGTGTTGGAGGAGTCACAGAAAGGCGTGGAGTGTGGCGCTACCTTCCTGCCATCCCACTGCGGGCATCTGTCTGGTCTGCACACTTTGGAGATGGCGGGGGTTGTGCTCCATCGATCTCGTTCCTGTGCTCTATGTTAGAGTGCATAATAAGCACATTGATTGTGCTAAATATGTGTTTTATAAAAATCCAGTATAGGGGTAAGACGTATGACATGTTTTGTGGCTTTTGCACTGGGACAAACTGCATTTTGAGCGGTGGTTGAGTTGATTCAGGTGGCTCTTGTTGCCGTGAATCCATAGCTCTCAGTGCAGAATTTTAATCACGACTTGTCCTGATGCTCGGGCATGACCTGTGCTGACTCATGTCACTACATGGTCACCTTATAGCCACAGGACAGGTGTCAACTGGCTGAAGAAAGCTTGTAGCCATGTAAAAAGAATTAAAATATTTTGTTTTATATATAGAAGTATGTGTATGTGTAGAGACGAAGGTCTCACCAGTCAAACTTGGCCCCCTCCGTGGAAAATTCCTCGGCCTCCGTCACACACAGGCTGTAGTGGGGTCGCAGACCTGGATCAACCGATATCACCCAGAGAAAGGGGGATGTGGGCAGTGAGGGTATATGGCTTTTGTTAGCAGAGCTCAGAAGAATCCTACAGCCCTACAAGATGGACTTTTTTTTTTTCTTCTGTTTCCCAGGCTGGTCTCAAACTCCTGGGCTCAAGGGATCCTCCTGCCTCAGCCTCCTGAGTAGCTGGGACTATAGGTGAGCACCACCATGCCTGGTTCCTACAGGATGGGGCAAGGGCAATCAAGCAGCAGCTGGTGAGAACAGGGGATAATACTTGGCTTCTAAATCAGTCTTAGGTTTGACTGAGTTCAATCCTAATCTTTTGCTAACAAGTTTCCTTGGCCAGAATCAGTTGTAAATCGGTGATTTTGAAGTAGGGATATAATGAACGTGGTCTACTAGTTGAAAGCTAAGTCAACTAGTATTTAAGGTGCACATATTATCAATAAAGCAAATTGAGAAGCTCAGAGTGTTCAAAGCATCTCCATCTCCTGAACTACAAAATGCCTTTCAACTTACTGGTATCTGTCATCTTGTTCTCTCTGATGAGACGCCTGGCTCAGGGGTGTGGACAGTGGCTACAGGTGGAGAGCCGTTCTGAGAAGAATCTCTAGCATGTAGAAATGACCCAGGGAGACACTAATGACTGACATGGGAGGGCAGCCTGAGACCTTCCTTGTGTCATGAAGTAGTCCAGACTAATATTCTTGGCTTTGGGGTGATTTGTTTTTTTAGTGTTTATGAGGTGGACTTGGAAAGTTATTGGTTCATTTCTCTTTTAAAGATTAATTTTGAATTTTAAGTTCTATTCTGTGGATTTGTGGAGGGTAGAGTTTTGTTTTGAATTGGAAGGGAGGGCGTCTTCATGAGAATGAAGGCATTTTCTCATGTCCCCACCAGCTTTCTAGAGGCAAAGGAAGAGGGGGAAGGACTTGGGTAACACGCAGAGCTGCCCCTGTGACAGGTGCAAAGCCTTGAGCTTCGGCAAAGAGTCGAGGAGGAAACCTGAACCTGTGAGGCGAGAAAGTCACTCAGACCAGTTCTAGAAGAGTCTAAGGTTTTGCCTTTGACCTCTGTCACAGTGCAGTCCTGGACATTTCCAAGCCCTGCTCCCTCTCAAGACCTCCCTGAAGCCTCTCCGGTTTTCTCCATTCACAAGTATCCATGGGGAAGCTCACTCCAGCCAAACACTCCTCAGTTAAACACTAGCGGGTTCTGCCTGAGTGGGTTCCTCCAGAGCTGGCCTGGGGGCCTGGGCTCCTCTAGTCAGCCCTGGCTGTTGGGGAGCAGATGGGAATCAAATAAGCAGAAAGGTGGTACCCACCTGGGCTGGGTCAAGTCCCTGTCCTCTTCCATACCTGCCTGAAGGCCTGAGCCTCAGCCAACCCTGGGACACAGAAATCCCCACTCTCCCTCCTTTCTCCTCTTAAATAAAACCCATGTTAAAAAAAAAAAACAGGAAATCCATACTAAAGGCAAACAGTTTGTTTTCCTGGGCTTTTTCTTTCTGATCAGAAATTTCCCTTCCAGGATTTTTCTGTTGTCATCAGCCAGCAGGTTTTGCTGGGGGAGGTCACTTACTCCACACAGATCACTCTGTACCATGTGCCCTACCTTAGTGATTGGGGGCAGGGGGAGGGGGCCGAGGTTCCTTCCCCTTCTTGTTATTCTTTCCTGACCCTTCATCCCCACAACAGCAAATAAAACTGTTTCAGGCTCTTGCTACCGAATTCTTTATCTCTCCCTCAGACATTTCCTGTTCAGTGCTGAACAGCAGGCCCTCTGCCCTCACCAGCCCTGACTGCCTCAGATAAGTGGAGAACTGAAACCTTCCTGCCTCTTGCAAGTTGCAAACAAAGTAAAATTGAACCAGTTACTCAAATTTACTAGAAAGTTCTGGTGCCATCCACCCAGCAAAGGAACTGAGTTCTTCAAAGCAAGGAGTCGATAGGGGGAGCATCCCAAGAGCAGCTTGAAGTCGCCTCCCTGGGACAGTTTGGTTAAGGAAAGCACTAGCCAGGTCACAGCAGGTCCAGGTAGGGGAGTGCTGAGGGCCAGAGGTACAGAGCTGAAGTCACTTTTTAAAAATACCACCTTAAAAAGCAGTTTTCCAAAATGCACCTGCAAGGAATAAGTGACATTAAAAAAAAAAAAAGCCAAAAGTAACCACACATGGCCACGACACAGGGCCCATCCAGAATGAGAGAGTACCCCAGCAAGGCCCCATCCCATATAGGACCATTCAAATTACTAACTAGTTCCTTCAGAAAATCTGCAAGTGTAGAGCTGGTTACACCACAAATATGCCTGTGAGTACCCTGCTTCCCTGTACCCCACCTCCCTCCACCCCCCTCTCTGCTCAGGGTGGGCGGAGAGCCAGCAGCATATGCATCACCTAGGGGCGTGTTAAGATTGCTGGATCTGCATCTTTACATCCCTGGGTGATTTGTATGCATTGAAGTCTGAAAAGCATTGGTCCTCCATATAAGCACAAGACATAATTATCTTCTTAAAAGGTACAGCTTGCCCTGTATAGCATTGGCCTTAGATAAAGGTACAGAAAAAATGCCCATGGTTTTTAAACCCCCCAAAAATTGTCACCCTGTCACTGGGAGGTAGTTCTAACTCAGTTGACCTAGCTGCCTCATCAAATAATCTCTGGATGCAAAAGATCAGAAAGAGACAAACTAGACTCAGCCACAGTGAATACACAGGTCCCAAGCAAGCAACTGGGTTCCAGTAGCCTTATCGCCTCAGCCAGTGTTGGGTCAGCCTGTGTGCCTGGCTCTCCTTAGCCCAGGGATGGGAAGTTTCAATGGCGAGTTGGGGCAACTGAAGGCACCATGACCCCTACACTATGGCTAAGAGCTGTAGAGCTGTGACCTTAGGGACACCCTGGGTGAGCAGGTCTCCAGTTTACTATATTCATTGAAGTTCACTTAATGTTTATTAAATGTATCTTATATTGGGTTCTATGGGCTTGTAGTTCGACCAGAGGGAGCCAAATAATGCAGAAACTCAAAAGTGCTAGGGGAGGGTCAAAGCAGCAGGGTTGGGATTCAGCCTGGCATCCAGGTAATTAGCTGGGGTAAGTTAGAGAAAATGTTTGGTCCCACAAGAGAAAACCAAGAAACCAGAGCTGACAACTTAAGTTCATGTTCAGAGGACTAGAGGAAATGAACTTGGAGACTACTTACCAAGGCACCAGGAGATTGGTAAGACGCCAGAGACGGATACTGTGGTGGACAGATAAACCTTTGGACACTGGGCGCTGGTGTTGGGGAGGATTCACCAAGAAGACACCACTCCCAGGCCTGTGCTGGGCACTTAAAGAATGTCTTATATAACCCTGAACAAGCTCTAAATCTAGGTATCCTGCTCCCTGTTTCATACATGAGGAAATGGAGGCGAGACATCACCTGACATGCCCAGCATCATACAGCAAGTGACAAAGGCAAGATCCAAACCCAGGTCCCATTGCAATGGGCCACCCTGCCTCAGCTTGGGTCCAAAAAGAAATGCAAAGAAGGTGGAAGGCCAGAGGCAGGCTGGAGTCAGTTGTGCCCCTGGGCCTGCTGCACTGCTAGCCTCTCAGGTGAGAAGGGCCTCATCCTGACCCCACCCAGCAACCACCAGCCCTTTGACACACTGAGAGGAGAAGGGATCTGAAGCCACTAACTCCATAGCATCATGCTGTTAGGTGTGAGTGGCCTCCATGTCTGCTGTGGGGCACACATCTGGGCCTCTAGTCAAACATGGGGTGTTTGGGAATGTACTTCTCTAACAAGTGAACTAAAGGCTTAGGGGGAATAAACAGATCACAGTGAAGTGGCCAATGTTCTTGTCCACCAACATCCCACCCACTGTTTTATTGTACATGCATGATCTTGCACTGTGTGTTATAATTAACACAAAT